CTGTCCGCACGCCATGGCTGGCGACCCGGGTCCTCGAGCACCCAGAAGGGAGTTCGTCAAACTCTAGTGAGGCGTCGGTGCAGTGGTCTGCTGTGGGCAGGGAACCCCGCCTCCGTGGACAAGTCCAGGGACCACTGCGGAGCCGGGGAGGGTGACTGTTCCATGGGAAGGCTGAGGTCCCTGCACGGGGCGGGAGGTGTACATCTGGCGGCCACCTCCCAAAGCGTGTGAGGCCACTGTGCCTTCAGCAAAGGACAGGGGAGAATTCAGGGGGATCCGTAGGTGGGACTGGAGGGCGGGAGGCCCCCCACAGGTTGCCTTGGACTGACCCCTCTGTTTTCTCCAGCAGAACAATCAGGTAGCTGCCCAGGCCCCCATCTCTGACCTTGGCCTCCGCTGGTCAGCTACTGGTTTTGTTCGGCCTCAGTGTCCTGGAACGTTGGAGGGGGGCCATGCATCCTCACAGATCTTCCCCGTGTCCCTGCGACGGAGCCGAGCAAACCAGCTGCTCCCAGAGCCCCCCGTTTTCTGCGGGGCCTCCCTGCACACAGCACACTTCCCTCCTTGGCCGATGGTAGAGAAGGGGCTCCGAGTATCGCCGACTCCTTGCCTCTTCTGTTTTTAACCCTCACCTAGAACATTTGTCCATTTATTTTCAGATGGAGTGGGAGGGAGGGGGAGAGACAGAAGGAGAGAGAGAGACAAGGATGTGAGAGGGACACATCAACTGGTTGCCTCCCGCACGACCCCAACCAGAGCCGGGGACCGAAGGGCAACTGAGGCACGTGTCCTTGACTGGACTCGAACCCACGACCCTTCTAGAAAGAAGGTACAGCTAGGAAGGTGACGACGCAAAGTGGTGAGACCGTCTGTGGTCTGCTCTGCGGGAAGGAGAGGCTGGGTGCCTGGCAGACACCAAAAGTATCTCGAGGGGCGATCCCCCGGTTGTCGGGTTTGGACTGGGACGCCAGGGTCTGTGTGAGCCCTGGCCCAGCGGCTGTGGCAGGTGGGGCGTGAGAGGTCCCCCTGACATGTGACTTTGGAGCGGTCATCTGTCTGCATGAAACAAAGCCACTGAGGAAAAGGAAGGACAAATCCGAAGGAGGTGGGTGTGCAGAGCGGGCGGAGAGGCTGCTGACCGTCGACCCTCCCACCAGGCTTTGGCTCTGTGAGGGGGGAGGGGCAGGCCAGGACCCAGCCGCAGGCCTCAGTCTCTGATGGAATTTCTCAGAACATGACAGAGGATCGACCTTGTTCCTTTGAGAATTACTGTCGCAGGCGCTCAGAAACGTCGCTCTGACAGGCAGCCGTGTGATTCTGGGCCGACCAAGGGCCTGGGTCTTCGCTGGAAACCGAGGCGGCTCTGACCTGCAGCCGGCTTGTCCTGACGGGACCAGCCGCGCACAGGTGTCCCCAGGCTCGTCCGCTGAGGGCGGAATCAGCCTGAGAGCCTTGTGAGCGACGGGGCAGGGGTCTTCCTCCATCAACGCGCCCGTTAGCGACGGGGTCAGGTACTTGCTCCTCGCACCTCTGTCTGTCCTGTCGTCTGGCCGGTTTCTGACGGGGCTCGACGGCCACGCTGTCCCGGCGGCCAGCGATGGGCTCTGGAGAGCCCGTCCCCGGCTGCTGGCACTGCCCCAGCACTGAGCACATTAAGGCCGTAACACCAGGCAGCCAGGCGTCCCCATCACCCCACTGTGTCCCCGTGACCCCGCATTCACGACCCCGGACAGAACAACGTCTCAGCAGTTGCAGCTGAGCAGCGTGGCGACGCAGATGCGGTGGTGGTGGCCGCGGCAGCCGGCCGATCCGTCTAGGACGCGTGACAGCCTTGCCCGCCGGCCAAGCGGGTAGCAGCAGCCCGTGGTGAGGCCACGGCGGACCGTGCACACGCAGCGGTCATCACTGTCCTGGACGCGGACCGTCGTCCTGCCCTCCGGCCGGGGGTTTGGTCCGCCACGCGGTTCTAGGAAGGAGCCTGATACGTCCAAGTTTTTAGAGGGTCAGGTGACTGGGGCAGCTTTATTTTTTTAAAGAACGTATGGTTCCTACCCTCTTTGTCCTAAAGACATAGCTGCCGGGGTTCGGGAAAACACAGGCTTGGGTCTGAGCCTCTTAAAGAAACAGAGGTCTGTGCCCTGCGTTGCCCTGCGTTGCCCTCCCGATGCCTCCCGATGCCAGGCCGAGCGGCTGCAGAGAGGCCCGTCCTGTCCCGGGCCCAGCGCCCTTTGTCCACCAGCTACACCAGACACCAGGCGGGGCTCTCGGGGGTGGGGGTGCAGTGGTCTGCCCCAGTTAGGGTGCCTTGTGCCTGGAGACGGGGGAAGGGAAGGAAAACCAGCCCCGCCCTGCAGGCTTATCTCGGGCTTCCCTGGGCTCAGCGTAACCCCTGGAGAAACAGGAGGTCTGCAAGCTGTGGAACAAGTCGGGGCTGGCCAGGCATGTGGCATGTCCCCGCTCCTTCACCTCCCCCCCCATCTTGGCTCCACTCTGCCCCAACCTGCCGTGGGTAAGGGAGCGGCCTGTTTAAGCAGGATCCCCAGCCCCAAGCCTCCCTGGGCCTTCCCCAGGCTCAGCTCGGTGCTGCTGCCTGCTGCTCCAGACAGAGCAGGAGAGGCAGCCTGCAGCGCGGCCATTTCGAGGACGGGCCCTGGGGCATGGCCTCAGGGCCACCTGCAGGGAGTTGTAATGAGTGTTGAATGCTTGGGTCCTCACTGTCCACCTCCCCGCCCCCAGGCTCCCAGCAGCTTCGCAGACTCCAGCCAGGGAACTGTCAGCCCCTCTGCCCGGTCGTCCGGCCAATAAAGGCTGGAGGGAGGAATGGAGACAGGACCTGGGAAAGGGGGTGAGGCCAGCACCCAGAGTTTGGGAGGCTCTGGATTCGGTTATCCGGGTGGATCGGTGCCCGTCGATGTGTGTAAAGTCCACCCATTATGTCCATGAGACCCTGGCAGTATCCCTTGGGGCAGCCTGCTCATTCAGATTCCTGGGCCCCACGGCAGACCCCCTGCATCCAAATGTCTGTACTGATTTGAAGGAATATTTTTACTCTCTCTCTCTCTGTATCGAAGTCAAACATGCATCCAAGTACTCGAACCTCAAGGCTTTGTGAACATACTGGTGTAGCCACCACCCAGATCAAGACAGGCTGCCACCAGGAAGGGCTCCCTGCCGCCCTCCCCAGACACAGGCTGCCCCAGGGCACCTGCTGTTCTGACTCGCTGGAGAGGTTGGCCTGGGGGTGAGTGTCCCGCCACTGAGCGGTGCAGGGTCCTTGGGTCTGGCTTCGACCTCCCAGCGCTGTCTGTGAGAGCATCGCTCGGGGGCTCGGGGACCAGCCCATCTGCCACGTGACCATCCTGCAGCACGTCCGTCTGCTCTGGGCGGGCAGAGCCTGGGTTGTTCCCAGGCCCTGGCTACTGCCCGAAGCTGCCGAGATGTCGCTGTGGCTGTCACTGTCTCTCGACCCAGACGCGCTCACTGCTGTTGGCAGCGGAGTTGCTGTGTCCTTGGTAAGAGGCTCGTTCGGCTTTTGGCACATAACTGCGGACGGTTTTCCGGGAGTTGAGCCCATTTCGCTCACCGGTACCGCGTGAGGATTCCGTCGCTCTGTGTTCTTGTCCGCGCTGGGCACTGTCAGACCGTTTCATTGTAGCCACGCTGGTCGGCGTGTAGTGGGGTCTCTGTGGCTTTAGTGTGCATTCCCGGCTGGCCAGTGACGGCCAGAGCCTCTCCGCGTGCGCACTGGCCCCTGGCACCTCACCTTTTGTGAAGAGGCTGATCAAGTCTATAGCACTGGGCTGTGGGGCCCGGCCGGTGGGGCTCAGTGGTTGAGTGTCGACCCTGCACCAAGAGGTCGCCAGTTCGATTCCCGGTCGGGGCACATGCCCAGGGTGTGGGCCCGATTCTCAGTAGGGGGCATGCAGGAGGCAGCCGATCCATGTTCCTATCTCTCTCTCTCTCTCTCTCTCTCTCTCAAATCAATAAAGAAAAAAAATGTAAAAATAAAATTGGGTTGTGGGTGTTTGAGTCTTCTAACTTGTAGGGGCACCTTGTTCCTGACACCTCTCCTGGACCCCAGAACGCTGCAGGCAGGGATCCCCCTCTGAAGTCCTCCGCAAGTTGTCTGGCTTTCTCGAGGCGTCTCTTTGCAATTCCACAAACGGGCCTCGTGTCCCGTTCAGGTTCTGCGCACAGCGGTCCCTTCAACTTTCTCCTAATGACACGGGGCCTACACGGGCGTCACGGGTTCAAGACGAACACGGGTGTGTTTGCGCCACCGAAGCCCGGAGCTGTGAGGACCACATCTGAGCCACCTCCTGGCCTTTCCGGCCGCACCTGATCGGCACCACGGCTTGTCCAGATGTGTGGCGGGAGGAAGACGGGTTTCAGAACCGCCTTTGTGGCCTCGATTCCAGCACCTCGTGTCCCTCTCCTCCGGCACCCGCCTTCTCCTGTGCCGGGGGCGCATGTCCAGTCCATCTGGGCTCGTCGCTGGGGGATGGCGTGACTGCTTTGGGTCCTCAGAGAGGAATCGTCTCCTCACCTTCCCCCTCGATGCCAACGGCACGATCGTCCCCACAGCTCTGCCACCCCAGGAGCCAGGCGTGGGACTGTGACAGATCCAGAAGCCTAGAGCTCCTGTGACTTCATAGCCCAGACTGTGAAGGACGGTGTCTCGGCGGGACCGTCTGCCGGGCTGGTTTTGAGCACGGCCACCCTGGAAAGAGGTGTTGCCTTTGGGGAGGACCAGGAGCCAGAGGGAGGGAGCCTGTCTCTCCTGTTTGCCTGTGGTAACAAAGGGAGCCCCTGTCGCCTCTCTTTCCCTCTGTGACCTGCCACTCAGAGGCCCAGTGTGGCAGGAAGTGCGGGGCGGCCCCACTTCCCCGCCCCCACCTAGGCCCGGAGGCCGAGTGGCTGTATGCACAGCCCCACGCCCGCCCGCGCTGAGGGCTGGCGCGGATCACGGGGAGGCGGGCTCTGATGTGTCCTCCCCACAGGCTGGCTGTGACGGCGAGAGCATCGGAAACTGCCCCTTCTCTCAGCGGCTCTTCATGATTCTCTGGCTAAAGGGCGTCATATTCAATGTGACCACAGTGGACCTGAAAAGGTGAGGCAAGCTGTCTGCACTATTGAAATAGCTGCTTGACCGCGCACACAGGTGCGCACACACAGGCGCGTGGCGTGATCGTGGGCGAGTCCACCCTCGGTGGGACCCTGAGCTGGCAGACTGGGTGAGCAGTGACCGCAGGGTCAGATGGGTCGTGTCAGGCAGTGTAGGAATCGGGGCGCCTGCAGGAACCTGCCCTCTCGGCTACTGGGGTTACCGGTCAGCCGGGAGCTCCCCACAGCCTGTCCGAGCCGCCCCGGCCGACAGACCCGGGAGAGCTACCGTCCTCACCTCCGTCTCCGGAGAAGGGGCCCCGTCCCTGCCAGTAGGAGTCTGTACAGTCTCCTCCGAACCGCTCAAGGGTTGTTTCTCTGAAATCGGGAGCACGCGGCGAGGCCTCGGACATGAATCCAGACCCTGGTAGCTGCCGACCAAAGCCGCTGTCCCCCCCCAGGAAACCCGCGGACCTGCAGAACCTGGCTCCGGGCACCAACCCTCCTTTCATGACGTTCGACGGTGAGGTCAAGACGGACGTGAACAAAATCGAGGAGTTCCTGGAGGAGACACTGGCGCCCCCGAGGTAGGCGTGTGGGACCGGCCTGGCACATGGGTGCCGCTCTCCTCGCTTCGCCAACGACTCTCCAGCTCCTGGCTCCACACGTTTGGTTTCTGCAGGGGGGGCCGCCGCTTCCTGACCACCCCCGTGCACCCCGGCAAACACAGGGCAAGCTTAGGAACCCTGGGTGAAGGCGCCCCGATCTCTGCTCTGAGCCCGCCGTGCGGGAGGTTGTTGGTCCAGTCTTAGGTCCTCGGCTGGAAGGGAGGGGACAGGCCACATGGAGGACCTGGAGTGGAGCCTTCTCGTCCGAGGGTGGGGGACCTTTCTTTCTGCCAAGGGCCTTCTGGATATTTATAACATCAGTCTCGGGCCATACACAATTATCACTGAAAAATGAGCCTGCCAGTCCGGCCGCTGTGGCTCAGTGGTTGAGCATCGACCCTGCACCAAGAGGTCGCCGGTTCGATTCCCGGTCAGGACACATGCCCAGGGTGTGGGCCAGATCCCCAGTGGGGGGCATGCAGGAGGCGGCCAATCGCTGTTCCCTCATCGATGTTTCTATCTCCCTCTCCCTCTCCCTTCTTCTCTCTTTAAAATCAATAAAGAAACAAAAATTAAAAGAAAAAAAAATGAGCCTGCCGTATTTGGTCAGGCTGATCTGGTGAGGGTGTAATGTTGGCCATATTGGTTTTGAGGCCCCTGGGCTGGGCGTCCCCCACCCTTGCAGCCCATCACCTTCGTTTGAGGAGGGAGGGACCTAGGAACCGGGAGGGAGGTGAGCCCCGTCCCAGGTATGAGAACAGCCAGTCTGGCCTTTCTCCCTCGACTGTGTGGCTCGCACCTCGAAAACGAAAAGATTAGGAAAACTCTAGGGGGGAGTTTTGGTTTGTACGTGCCCCACTGTGTTCCCCTAACTCAAGCATTACTTATCTGTGCCGTTCCGATTTTGAATTTTTCAAGGTACCCTAAGCTGGGGACCCAGCACCCTGAATCAAACTCTGCAGGCAATGACGTGTTTGCCAAATTCTCGGCATTTATAAAAAACACCAAGAAGGACGCCAACGAGAGTGAGTACCCCCCCCCCGTTTCTGTCCCGACGTGGCCCCCGCGCGGCCCCTGCTGCGGCTTCTAGGCGACCCTGGGCAGTCGGCCTCATTTCTCAGCGAGGGGGACCTGTCTCTAGGACACAGGAAAAAGTGCCTCCAACTTTGACTCTGCTCTGGGTTTCAAGACACTGAGTGCTCCTTCTAGGGGTGGGGGGCCCTTTTCGGGGTGAAAGAAGCACAAGCAGGTGTTCCCAGAGGCCACGGGGGCCCGTTGCCTGGCGCACGGTGGGTCCCAGGAGGATTTGTGAAGAGGTGAGTGGGCCGCGGTGTGTAGACAGCAGACGACTTCCCAGGGAGGGGGAGGCCCCGCCGACCGCTGTCCTGCGACCCCAGAGAACGGTGCCCCCCGCACTCTCAGCCCGTCTGCTCTGGGTTTCAGTGTACGAGAAGAACCTGCTGCGGGCCCTGAAGAAGCTGGACCAGTACCTGAACAGCCCGCTGCCGGAGGAGACGGACGCGGACAGCGCGGAGGACGTCGCCGGCTCCGGGAGGAAGTTCCTGGACGGGGACGAGCTCACGCTGGCCGACTGCAACCTCTTGCCCAAGCTCCACATCATCAAGGTCGGTCGCGCCTCCTGCCCGCGAGGCGGCTCCGTTGGCTTCGGTTCTGACCCAAGTGCGGGCCGCCCAGCGGAACAAGCTGAGATGTGAAAAGTCTCGCTGCTTTCATGGGGAGGCAGGCAGGCCTCGGGTTTCGGAAACGCGGGCGTTCTCGGGGGTCTTCAGGTGGCCCCAGGAGGCGTCTGGGAACGTGGCCCTGGCCCCCCGCCCTCACCGCCTCTCTCCGGGTCTTGCTCCCGCAGCTGAGGGAGCCGCCAGGTGAAAGCCGGGTACAGTGACCACACCCGGGGCCCAGCGCTCAAGGCTGGCACCTGAGTCAAGCTGCGAGGTTTAACGTGTGCGTGCAGCCCGCTGCTGGGCACTGGCAGGGTCAGCAAAGCTCGGCCTCGGGGTGATGGGGTGTGTCACGGGCCAGCTGTGATTAGGGTCGGAAGACTCCCTGGGATGGTGGGTCTCCAACGTGAAAAGCATAGACTGGCTTGGGGAGCTTTTTAGGAGGATAAAGCCCAGCCCTGATCTGAAGCAGAGCTCTGGGAGTGAGCCTGAGACGCTGAGGCAGGGGGTCCCATGGAGCCTTGGTTCCGGCTGCTGTCCGTGGTGCCCAGCCTCTCGGTCACCACACCTGTTTGTTATTGTCGTCATCACCGGTGCTAGATCCTTGGCCCCAGCAACCTCCGATGCCCCAGGGGGAAGCCCCAGTCTCTGGGGTCTCTTTTTTATTCAAATCCCACCAGGTCCAGAGGTAGGTCCTTGGTACGGAAGAAGGATAGGGGAGCTGGGAGAGAAGATGCCGGGAAATGCAATACACACCCAACTGGCATTTACAAATTAGGTTCACGCCATGTCGCCGTGTCATCTCCTGCCCTTCCCTCCATGCATTTCTTCTTCCTTCCCTATTCCCGCCATCCTCACCCCATTTTTTTTTATCCTCGCCCGAGGACATTTTTGCATTTATGCATTCATCTTCGGATAGAGCGGGAGGGAGAGAGGGAGGAAGAGGGAGAAACATCGCCACCCACATGACCCCACCTGGGCCCGGAGACAAACTGCAGCCGAGGTACGTGCCCTTAGCGGGAACCAAACCCGGGTCTCTCCAGTCCGTGGGCCGACACTCTAACCGCTGAGCCAAACCGGCCAGGACCCCATTTTTTTTTTCTTCTCTCTTCCCTGCTGTGCTTGAAGGTGCCATTTGAAATTCTAGCCTGAAAAATATTGCTGACCTGCAAGGGAATGTTCTGAAAAGAACATTATAAATAACTTTGTAATATTATAATATTATAATAACAATATAAATAACGTTGCCAGTATCCTGACATCTGAAATTAAGTGGAAGCCCTGGTTGGTTTGGCTCAACAGTTAGAGCGTTGGCCCACAGACCGAAGGGTCTTGGGTTCAATTCCCAGTCAAGGGCACGTATCTGGGTTGCAGGTTCGATCCCCCGTCCCGGTTGGGGTCATGAGGGAGGCAATCAATTGATGTGTCTCTCTCACATTGATGGTTGTCTCTTTCACATCAATGTTTCTCTCTCTCCCTCAATGGTAAAACATCCTCGGGTGAGGATTAACAACAACAACATCGGAAATGTAATGGAGGCGTATGAACCCCATACACCTGCTACATTGGTGACGGTTGAAACTGGAAAGTTGGGAGCCACTTCCCAGTGAGGAGCTTCCGTAGTTGCGCTGGGTTCGCCCCTTTCGTGAGTGTACTGCAGACACTGCTACAGCCAGTGTGGTGCCCAGGAGTGTGCAGGGCCATAGAAATGCCCCAGCCATACGACTTCAACTGCCGCTTGCCCGACGCCTATAACAAAACAGTATCTTACATCTCAGTATCAGTAAAGTGTTCAGAGTAAAATTAAGCAGCCGTGGCTCCAATATGAGATCGAATAGGAAATTCGTCAAAGCCACTTAGCACTCAAAATAAACAAAGAGCTTAATAATCTCCCAGGATGGAGCACCTCCGACAGGACATGAGAGCCCGTCTGCAGGAAGGTGTGGTCAGAGGTGAGAGGGAAGGGGAGTGCTCGCTCATCCCCCGAAACCCAGCAGAAACCACGGGAAGAAACAGCGTTCGTGGCCTCGTCCATAGAACCAGAAAAGGGCAGAGCAGCAGCGCGCAGAGGGAAAACGCCGTGCGGGGCGTGGGCCTCGGGCACCAGGCTTGCTGTCTGCGTCTGTGGCAAGGTTCAGGTCGCTCTAGAAGTCAATCACACGGTCCTGAAATGCCAGCCCGGACGTGTCTGTTTGAGGACGGGGCATGGGGCAGGCCACAGGAAGCAGAGGCCACCCCTGCAGAGATTGCGTGGGAGCTGAGGCCTCTGCAGAGGGGAGTTGAGGGAGGAGCCACACATGGTACCGTCTGTGCATTCTGCCACTGTCCCCTCATCCAAAGGGACAGGGAGGGAGGCGGAGTGGAGGAGAGAAGGGAAGTGATACTTCGCGGTGTGGCTGCTCAGCAGAGAGGAGAAACAGCTGTGGACCACTCGAGAACGTTGTGAATAACCCGAGCTTCAATCTTTTATAGAGAAGGAGGACGTTGGGGTGGGGGGAGAGAGAGAGCGAGAGGAACATCAAGGTGAGAGCAACACATCTCTCCACTGTCTCTCGTACCTGCCCTGACTGCACGCTGACTGGGCATCAGACCTGCAACCTAGCCCACCGTGAGTCAAACCTGCGACCTTCTGGTGCGTGAGATGACACTCCAACTGATGGAGCCACACTGGCCAGAGCTCACGTTGTATCTGTAGCCATGGTGACCTCCTGCCTCATCTGTGAGCCTCGGAGTGTAGGATGCCCGGCCCTGACCCTGGCCCTGACATGACTAACCCTCACCCTAGTGTGTCCCTGGGGTGGGCGCAGAGCATGTCTGGCGGAACTGCTTGAGGGTGAATACCACATTGTCAGCCAGCAGCCCCGTCTCACTCCCTGGCCCTTCACACTATTCTATTTTAATTACTTAATTAATTTACTTTTAACTGTTTTTCTTTATTGATTTTAGAGAGAGAGGAACGGAGAGGGAGAGAGAGATAGAAACATCGATGAGAGAGAACAGCGATTGGCCGCCTTCTGCATGCCCCCCACTGGGGATCAGGCCCACCACCTGGGCATGTGCCCTGACCGGGAATCGAACCTGCGACCTCTTGGTGCCTGGGTCTATGCTCAACCACTGAGCCACACGGGCCAGGCCCTTCACACTGTTTTGAAACAAATGGTAGATACACTAGAGCTTCCTTGGTAAAGACGATTCATAACCGGAAAGCATCCAAGTGTACCTCTCTGTGGGTGCCGATGGTCAGGGGAGGAGGACAGGCTGAAGAGAAGGGACACCAGAGGGAAAGGCGGAGGGGAGACACGTGATGAAGAACTGCTCCAGGGCCCTGCCTTCGTGGTTAGAGCATCGGCCTGTGGTCCAGAGAGACCCGGGTTCGGTTCCCGCTAAGGGCATGTACCTTGGCTGCAGTTTGTCCCCGGCCCTGGTTGGGTCGTGCGGGTGGCAGCCACTCGATGTGTCCCTTTCACGTCGATGTTTCTCTCTCTCTCTCTCCCTCCCACTCTATCTGAACAAAAAAAATGGAAAAAATGTCCTTGGGTGAGGATAAAAAATAAAGAACGGCTCCAGGAAATTAAAGAACATTTCAGACAGAGCCTTCTCTACACCCTCAGAGAAATAAAGGAGGACGTGGATCTTTCCAGAAAACAGACAAGACACAGATAGCAAAAACATGGATATGATATCAGAGAGGAGATGACAACCAGACTGGCGAGCTCAAGACCCACCGACAAATAAAATAACTTCAGGAATAAAGTTACACGAGCGGTAACAAGAAGTTGGAGCAGACATTGCAGAAATGAGACGGAGACCCGGAGGAGGGGCCTGAGAAAACTGTCCCAAACCAAGTGGAATAGAACCAGGAGGGGAGAGAGATCCCAGGTGTGCACAACCAGGCACCAGAGATCAGACAAAGAAAAAGGAGGAAAGGAAGGCTCAGGGGGAAAACCGTTTTGAATCAAATGATGCTTGAACCTTCAGTTTGAACGATGCCGTGATTAGAAAAATACAGCCCTGGAAGATAACACACTATAACATATTAGATAAATTATCGAACTTTGGGGATAAGAAAAGAACCCTTTTGACATCCAGACAATAATAACAGCAGCAGCGATGATGATGATGATGATGATGATAGTAATAATAACTTAAATAAATAGTAAAACCACCTACACAAGGAAGAAATTCATCCTGGCCTCATATGTCTCTATGAACACATTAAAAACCAGAAAAAAAATGGTTTAATATTTACCGGAAATTAAGGGGAAGGATATGTGATGTAAGAATTTTATATATAGGTACATTGTTTTTGCCTAGACTTCTGATCTTAAATAAGTACTCATGAGCCAATTTAAAAAATAAAATTACTGTATGATGAAATAATAAAACCACAATCAAAATAAGAATCTGAAAACAGAGAAGATGTGTGATGTAGAAGGACTGGTGATAAATGTAAAACCTATTTAAACCAGAACTCGGACTAAATAACAGTGGGAATTACAGTTACAGACAAGAATTAGAATTAGTGAACTTGTTACACACAGACTTGGAAGGGAGATAAGGGAGAAGACCCGGAATCACTTCTGAGAAGTGTAGTTATACTAATTTACTCATTTGTCATAGCAGCAGTAAAGAGATATCATCTCAAGTTCAGAAATCAAGAAACAGAAAATTCCTGCTCTTTAAGGTGATACAGGAAACAACTAGAAAAGCTAAAACAGACCAGAAAACTTCCAAATCATCAGAAGGGGGTAAGAAACCCACGAAAATCTATGCAGAAAGGTGAAAAACAAAGGAAGTTTTCAATTCAGAAAATAGAATGCAAAATCAAGTGTACATCTGGTAAGAGTTACACACGTTACAGACATACTCAGAAAAGTAAAAAACAAACCAGCAACAAAGAAACGAGATGGCAAAGATAAACCAGGCGAACGCAAGCAAAAGGAAAGCAGTTTTCCAACCTGAGCACAAGTAGGGGTGAATTCTGGCGGACGATGTTGAACAGGCACATGGTCCCGGTTCCCTGTTGCCCCGCGTCAGCGGCGGCTGGCCTCCTGGGTCTGAGAAATGCGCCCCAAAGACCTTCTAGTCTGTGGCTCCTCTCAGGTCCCTTCATTCAGACATCCCAGAACCAGTGCCATAGGAGGCAATAGGGCAGAACTGTTTTTTGTAGCCCTGGGTCCCTGTTACAAGGTGAATTGTGTGTCCCCCCCCCCCCCCTCCAAATTCATATGTTGAAGTCCTAACGCCCAGGACCTCCAAAGGTGACCATATTTGGAAACGAGGTCTTTGCAGATGCCTGTGTAATTAGTTAAGATCACACTGAGGTTCTGTTGGAGTAAGGTGGGCCCCCGATCCAAGAGGATTATAAAAGGGACATTTGGGTGCCATGACACGAACACAGCGAAAACCCCATGTGGAGGGTGGAGCTATGTTGTCTCAGGACAAGGAACTACCAGAGCCAGGACAGAGACCAGACACAGAGTCTGCCGGAGCCTTCGGAGAGCACGGCCCCGCGGACACCTTGCTCTGGGACGTCCGTCCCTGGGACTGGGAGAAAGCAGAGGGTGTGGTTTCGGCCACCCAGCTTGTGGCCCTTTGTTAGTGCAACCCTGGGAGAGTGATGGCAGTCCCGCCAGGTCATGCCCGCCTCTGTAACTAACTCCCCGGCGGCACCCCTTCTGCCGAAGGCGACGCCACCCTGCTGTGCTGTCCAGGACATTTGCAGCAAGTTTCCCCGTGCTTACTACTCCCACGAGGCGAGGCTCGCGTCCCGTCCACGAATCGGCCCCCCGCACGTGGCGGGCCACAGTGAGACGCCCGCAGCGGGCCTCACACACCGTGGGATTTCAGGAGGCGAGGTTTGGACTTCACCGGGGTCTGAGCACCATCGGAACCGAAGAGCCGTCCTGAATCCGTAGCTCCCAGTCACCCAGCAGCATAGCACACGAGAGAAAACCGCCAGAGACCGCGGGGGACGCCCACGGGACCACAGAGCCGGGCGGGGTGCGATTGCAGGCCCGTCTGTGAGGAATGGGGGTGCAGCGGGGTGTGCAGCCACTGTTTCCAGCCTGGGACCTTTCTAACCTTTCTCCTACCCAGGTGTCCCGTGCAAAGGCAGATGCAGCGCTGAGCAGCCCGTGGCCTGTCGGATGGCGTCAGAACCCGACACAGAGAGTCCGTCGCACACCTCGGAGAGTGACGGTCTCGGCGAATTGCCTGCATGGGTAGGTCTTTCCTTCTCTGATCATTTCCTCTCCGTTCCCAGATCGTGGCCAAGAGATACAGAGATTTTGAATTTCCTTCTGAAATGACCGGCATCTGGAGATACCTGAACAACGCCTACGCTCGGGACGAGTTCACGAACACGTGCCCCGCTGACCAGGAGATCGAGCACGCCTACTCGGACGTCGCCAAGAGAATGAAGTGAGGCCGAGGGTTCTGTTCTCGTTGGTGAGCCAGGCCAGGCAAAGAGCGTTCTCTGTGTTTCTCCACCGTCCGCACCCTTCGCGAGAGAGCACTCCCACCTTAGTAAGGCCACATCCTCGGCCGGTCCACTCAGCCCCGAACAGGACGAGGCCTTGCTGGCGGTCCTCCTCTGCACCGAGCAATACCAGCCGCGGCTGTCCTGCACGCCGACTGTCCCGTTCGTCCTAATCGGTGTCTCCGACTTTCGCTGACTCGTGATCCGTGATATTTAGGGCATGTGTTTTGCCGTATAAGTTTCAAAGCAAATTCGGTTTGGGTTCAATTCCTCCTCTAATTAAAAAAAAAATGTGTCTGTCTCTGATCGTTTTCATAATCATGTGTAGCCTGTTTCTCTCCTTTAAAATAGGATTGTAATTTTTCCCCAGAATGGAAATCCTGTTTTTGTAATGACAGAATAAATAGGTGCCTATCTTAACATTTTAAAACTGTGAGGGTCAAACTGCACGGCAAGGCCACAGTTATCAAAACAGCATGGCACTGGCATACAAACAGACGTGCGGGTAAAACAGTCACAATGAAGCAATGTCAGAGTGGAAAGATGGAGGAGAAAGGCCGCCTGGAGTTTCATTCCCCTTAGGTAACTACCGGTCACGGGCGGGGAACGTCCCCAGCTCCTCCGTCTCCGTCTCTCACACCCAAACTGCATTCGGGCGGCGTTGCGTCGCTTTGTTCTGAAGGACCGTCGGGGCCTGCAGGTGGTCGCCACGGAGGGCCCAGAGCAAACAGACGGACTCGCACGGCAGCTAGAGAGGATGCTTCCGAGGGGTTCCCGGGGGGTGGGGGAATCCCGGAGTCCACACACCGGCAGGGACCAGCGGGGACCAGGAGCTGTGGACGCCCCCTGCTCGCCTTGTCACCCTCTGTGATTCTGTGGCCTCAGGCTCCAGGGAAGGCAGCGGCCGAGTGCCGTCTGTGGCTCTCATTCCCGTCTCCTCGCCTGCGTTTGCTCTTGGTCCCTCCTTCCCTGAGGACCCTGCCCTCAGGACTCTTTTTTTTTTTCATTAATCCTCATCCGAGGACACTTTTCACTAATTTTTGACAGAGTAGAAGAGAGGGAGGAGGAGACAGGGGGAGAAACACGAATGTAGGAGAGACACATCGGCTGGTTGCCTCCCGCACAACTCTGAGCAGGACCAGGAACTGAACCCGCAGACCGAAGGGTTGCTCCGCCCACAGAGCCACACCGGCCGGGGCTTCTGGGGGACGCCTCAACCGGCCGCAAGTGGAGAGTCTCCCTGCCCTGGACGGAAAGGCAAACCAGGCCACCTAGATCCCCTCCGGAGGCTGTTCTCTCCAGGACCCCACACTGCGCCGGTCCAGCCGTGACGTAGGTCGCGTGCGGCTGGCCTGGTGCCGGCTGCTTCTCTGTCCTTCATCACGTCACTCTGAGGGCAGGGAGGGAAACCCAGACAGCAAGTTCACCGTGACTGCTCCTGGGCAGTTCTGGCGAAAGTCAGGATGGGAGGAAGTGCAACTGGGGACTCAGAAGGTGACCCTGTGCCCCCCTGCCCGTCCCTGCAGCCAGCCTGTCGCCAGCGGCTGTGTGTGGGCCGGCGCAGGCTCCCGCTCGGGTGTGGGAGGCGCTTTAGACACGGGTCAGGCCCTCCCAGGGCACCCCGACATCCACACACATCTCACAGAACCCTTCTCTGGTTGGCTGTGGCGTGTGGCTTATGCAAAAATGCTCATTAAAAAATAAGTACACAGTCTGGCTGGTGTGGCTCAGTGGTTGGGCATCGACCTTACACCAAGAGGTCACCAGTTCGATTCCTGGTCAGGACACATGCCCAGGTTGTGGACCCCATCCCCAGTGGGGGGCGTGCAGGAGGCAGCCAATCGATGTTCTTGCTCATCCATGTTTCCATCTCTCTCTCCCTCTCTCTTCCTCTCTAAAATCAATAAAGAAAAAAATATTTAAAAAATAAGTATATAGCAGCTGTAGTGATGATTCATTTGGGAGAGTGAAATTCATCAACGGAATTGTTCTGGGGCTCCGTGAAAACGTCAAGTAAGAGAAAGTCACCATGTCCAACACACGTCCCATGATGCGCGCTTAACATCCGTGTAGGGTCAGGCTGTCAGGCTAGATCATCACGTCCCGTTTAAACCTGGTAAATGCATTGACTACCCCGTGTCAGTAGTACTAACTTTGTATTTTCAGATGCTAGAAGTGATCTATTTGCACTCCGTGTGCCTGAGCAAGTAAACACATCATAAAAATGTTTACGTGGAGCCAATATCTTTACTATTATTTTTTATTTTGCATTCTCCACTTAGATTTAAAGAAGTGAACGGAAATGTGTTTTCTCTAAAAGGGGAAGAGCAGCTTCGAACCAGAGATCAGCGGTGTTTGAATGAGAGAATCGGTGTTTGAATTGCAAACCCGAACACAGGAACAGAGCCTTAGCTCCGGAAAGACACGTGGGACCTGGCGGTAGAGGCCCGGCCGACTCTTTGGGTTAAACTGTTTTATTAAAGGAGAGTTGGCACAATATCACGTGAGTCTCGGGTACAGACAGCGATGCCACATTGACACACCTCACCACGTGGCCACCACGAGAAGTCCAGGGACCGCCTGTCACTGTGCAGACTCCTTACGATGTTGACTCTGTTCCCGAGCTGGACATGACGGACGTCTGTTTTCAAATGTCGTTGTAGGAACAGGCTCAGTGCCTGGCAGGTCCCCGCCCAGCGCCCCACCCCCGCACCCTGGTCACCAGCCCGGGGAAGCTGCTCTTCTGTAGGAGGGTGAGGAATAGTCCAGGCTGTTGGGCTGACATCAGATCTTTGTCACAGTGTGTTTTCTGCTACAAAACGCACCAGCTCTTCAAATGCCCCTCACAGAATGCGAACACGGGCACACAGCGTGCGAATCCCGCCGGGGCTGCGAGAAGGCTCCTGGGGGAGGGTCCCCTCTGGCTGCGCCCAGGAGCCTGACGGCTGGAAGCCGGCTTCACTCCTGAACAGGGTCGCGAGCCAGCTGGGAGAGAGCCCGGAGCATCGCCCAGCTGTGCCGTCCGGACGCGGCTGCACATGGGGATGGTGACAGAACTTCACCCAGGAAGGGCTTCGCAGACCAGAGCTCCAGCAGGTGGGCTCTGACCGACGGCGTCCCCCCAGGACTGAATGTGTGCTCTGGCCTTCCCAGGCAGGCAGACACGCGTACACACAGACGTGCTCACACACAAACATACACTCGCACACACAGCCCAGCCCCAAGCACACACACACAGATACACACATACACATTCACACAGACATGCTCACACACTCACATACACTCGCACACACACAGCCCAGCCCCAAGCACACACACACAGATACATACACATTCACACAGACATGCTCACACACTCACGTACACTCGCACACACACAGCCCAGCCCCAAGCACACACACACAGATACACACATACACATTCACACAGACATGCTCACACACTCACATACACTCGCACACACAGCCCAGCCCCAAGCACACACACACAGATACACACATACACATTCACACAGACATGCTCACACACTCACATACACTCGCACACACACAGCCCAGCCCCAAGCACACACACACACAGATACACACATACACATTCACACAGACGTGCTCACACACTCACATACACTCGCGCACACACAGCCCAGCCCCAAGCACACACACACACAGATACACACATACACATTCACACAGACGTGCTCACACACTCACATACACTCGCGCACACACAGCCCAGCCCCAAGCACACACACACACAGATACACACATACACATTCACACAGACGTGCTCACACACTCACATACACTCGCGCACGCACAGCCCAGCCCCAAGCACACACACACAGATACATACACATTCACACAGACATGCTCACACACTCACATACACTCGCACACACAGCCCAGCCCCAAGCACACACACACAGATACACACATACACATTCACACAGACATGCTCACACACTCACATACACTCGCACACACACAGCCCAGCCCCAAGCACACACACACAGATACACACATACACATTCACACAGACATGCTCACACACTCACATACACTCGCACACACACAGCCCAGCCCCAAGCACACACACACACACAGAGATACACACATGCACATTCACACAGACGTGCTCACACACTCACATACACTCGCACACACAGCCCAGCCCCAAGCACACACACACACACAGATACACACATGCACATTCACACAGACGTGCTCACACACTCACATACACTCGCACACACAGCCCAGCCCCAAGCACACACACACAGATACACACATACACATTCACACAGACGTGCTCACACACTCACATACACTCACACACACAGCCCAGCCCCAAGCACACACACACACACACACACACAGATACACACATGCACATTCACACAGACGTGCTCACACACTCACATACACTCGCACACACACAGCCCAGCCCCAAGCACACACACACACACACAGATACACACATGCACATTCACACAGACATGCTCACATACTCACATACACTCGCACACACACAGCCCAGCCCCAAGCACACACACACACACACAGATACACACATGCACATTCACACAGACGTGCTCACACACTCACATACACTCACACACACAGCCCAGCCCCAAGCACACACACACAGATACACACATGCACATTCACACAGACGTGCTCACACACTCACATACACTCGCACACACACAGCCCAGCCCCAAGCACACACACACACACACACAGATACACACATACACATTCACACAGACGTGCTCACACACTCACATACACTCACACACACAGCCCAGCCCCAAGCACACACACACACAGAGATACACACATGCACATTCACACAGACGTGCTCACACACTCACATACACTCGCACACACACAGCCCAGCCCCAAGCGCACACACACACACAGAGATACACACATGCACATTCACACAGACGTGCTCACACACTCACATACACTCGCGCACACACAGCCCAGCCCCAAGCACACACACACACAGATACACACATACACATTCACACAGACGTGCTCACACATTCACATATACTCGCACACACACAGCCCAGCCCATCATTAGGCTTTGAAAGAATTTTTTAAAATAGCTTTAAAAAAGTACAAGAAAACACCTTCTTTTATTTTATAGTTAAGAGAACCGAGATACGTCGCCCCAAGAACATAATTCACCAAACCCTGGATACACAAAATGGATTCGTGAAGGGCTATTTGCGCACAGTGGGTTAATTCAGAGTTCCCGCGTGGCCCGTCCCCTGCACATGTTGGACTTTGGTTTAATATGTCACCGAATTTCAAGGCATGATCACTCAACAGGACCAGACGCGTGCAGTGGCCCCTGCTCCCACAATGCCGGCGGGATTCACGGGGGCCTTGGCAGGTCCGGAGGTCAGGGAGACCCTGCGCCCGTTGGGGCGGCTGCCGGGCACTGCAGCCTGTGCTCTGACAGTCATCGTCCCCCTGCAGGGGTCCGGGCAGAGTCTCCGATGCCCTGGCCTTGAAGAGGGCCCTTCCGTCCAGCAGAGCCCGGAGCCGTCCCGTGGGGCTCGCACAGTCCAGGGCAAACTGTGCTCAGAGCCGTGAGTTTCAGACTCGGGTGGAAGCCATCCGCCGAGGGAGCACGGCCTGGGATAGGCTGTCAGCGGGATCGTAA